ATTTCTTAAATTTTGTTACTACACTTCTTACTGCCGAGAAACTGAAATTTAACGAATCGCCGATTTTTCGGTAACTTTCACCACTTTTGTGTAATACAATAATTTTATTTCGCACGCACAATGATAACTCGCACTTCTTCGTAGTCATGATTGTTGTTCAAAGTGTAAACACAGACTGATCGTGTTAACTGACAACGAGAAAGAGATTCATTCAACAGCAGGTTTTGTTTATCTTTATGTTCCTAGAATCGAATTTGTCACGTACCAAAGCGCGTAACACTTGTCCTTATAGCAAAACCATACGTGTGCCAATACTTTTTTGACTATAGATTTTTCGTTTTTTTTTTACTTTACTTCCTTATAACAAATAACTTAGAACTCTCAATGAACATACTATTTATGTGTGTCAAAAGACAGTTATAAACATAGTTAATATTAATAGATTACTTTAAATTATAAAGATATTCAAAGAAAACTGAGTGTGCCAATACTTTTTTGACCCATTGTATGTTCAACATCATAAGATTGTAGCTGACGTCAAGACGAGTACAACGATGTGTTACACTATGACCTTCAAATGACCTTGACCTGAACCTTGAACCTCTCTTCCTTTGAATAACGCATCGTTCAACTGATATCGATAAACTGATACATTCGGAATTCTTCAATGACAATAACCGACTCGGTAGTAAATACCTGTAGCTTATTGATAAACATGTTTATGTATGCTTAGAAATTACCTTCCATTAATAGTATACACGTGCTGAAATGGTTTAAGAAATTACTTTTTCGTTGATCAGACGGAAATTTCTCATTTCTCAGTTCAAGGTCATTTGAAGGTCATAGCGTAACACATCGTTGTATTCGTCTTGACGTCAGCTACAATCTTGTGATGTTGAAAATATAGGATGTAATCCAAAAATTACCGATGACCTTCAAAAAATCTTGAAAATTACAAAATTCGGAAATTTTTTTTATATCCTCATATTTGCCCCCTTAAACAGTACAACTTTTTCCTCTAACATTTTCTTCTATCTTTAAGTCGAACTGAGATAGTTAGCTGTTCTGTTTCTCGTGAATCACCCGGTATAAGCAAGAACGAGAAACGTATAGAAAGATTTTCTCTAAAGTGAAAATCCAAATTTTGAAACATGAAATAATGATATTTTAAAGAAATCGCAAGGGGTTAGCTTTGTTCAAAATTTCCAATTGTCTATAAAAATTATTTCTCGCTTCTTCGGTGAAAATGAAGTAAATTTCGTGTAATATATCGGAGCAACTTTTGTTATTTTTAAGAAAAAAGTTCCTAAAGAAAAGAGACAACAAAAATAGTTTAAAAGAGCGATCCTTTGAAAACACATTTTAAATAAGAGTTGTACATCCCTATGAGGTATGACATTGCTGTCAAATATATTTTTTCGAGGATCAGTCTTCTCAGGTTAAGTTTTCTTTAAAATGAATCAAATTACATTTAGAAAAATACAAAAGTTTAAAAATAAGATGAACTGTCTTATATTTGCATTTATAATTAGATGCGCATGTAGATCACTTTATAAGACATTTACAAAATTGAATAACGAATTTTTAGACATATTTAAGCGCTTAACATAAGTTAAGCACATAAGTTAGCACAGTTATAACATAATTTAAAATTGAAATAGCAAAACAACAGGCATTTTGGGTTTCAGTAGTAATCAGTAGTCATAGTGCGACGCATTTCATATAATGGAATACATGTTTCACGAATTGAGCGATATCTTCAGTTCACTCAGAGAAACAGTGAAAGCGAGTGAATACAGTCGAAGAGGTGAGGGGAGCATCATTCCAATCAGAAAGGTGATTGAGCAGATAATTATTGGAATCTTGGAAATGAAAAGTTTACGAGAATATAGATTTCTGGATTCATATTCACTTACTTTTAAACATATTGCTGGAATTTTTATAACGCGATATAATAAATATTCTAAGTGTGTTATCATAAAATTATTAAAGGCTATGAGCTAGTAATACAAATGATTCTCATTTCGCATTCTGTATGTACTTTGAGAGAAGTAAAAATATATATTTATGTTTATGTTTATGAAGATATAAAATTACATGTATATACTATATAAAGAGTATTTCAAAATGAACTTTGGGATTTTATTTCTTAGCAACAGAATATATTCGATATTGTAGTGACGATAAATATTTAAACGACATCATCATTAATTTGAAATCAAAAAATCAAATATATATTCCATGTCATTTGTGTTTTATTAAACAAGTAGAGTGAAGCTTCTTTCAAGTACCTCTTTAAATCTTGAATTTAATAAAATTGTATTTTTAGATTTTATTTTTAAAATTCTTTACACCCCTCAAATGCTAATATTAGCAAGAATTCAATGTTTATGAATTATTTCAATATTAAATTGAAATGCAAATTAATTGTAACGACAAAAACAATAATATGTATTAAACCAATAAATATTATACATACTTTGTATAGTGTGTTTAATTATAATGTTTAATTATAACTTAATCATTACATTATAATTTAATATTGTTTAATATTGAACTTTTTAGGATGAAAAAAAATAATTAATTCTATTGAACTTTTTATCCTATTTTATGCAAGTTTTTAGTTTTATTTGACAAGAGAATGACTCATGTAATGATGGGAGGAGTTGCTTTCCATTTTCATACATGTTTCATCTATGCGAACTAAGAAAATTCATAGAAAAAAAATTTTAAACAACTTTTTTAACAAGTTGAAGTGATTTTTTTCACCCAAAGAACTCGTTCTTTTTTTTTCAAACTTGCAGTAATTTCACATGTCACCATTATTGCGGGTTTTGTTAGTTCACATAGAAGAAAAATGTATGAAAACGAAAATTTCTTTTGGTTTTTTTTTGTGTCAAACCAAAATGACAACCTGCACCTTTCCCGCCGATAGGAGGTTTTAATTGTGGGGTGCCCTACAAATGTGCGTCACGGTCGCCTCAATTTGAATATTTCTTGTTGAAACAATTTGTACAAACTACTCAAAAATGTATGAAAATAGGATAAAAAGTTCGATAGAAATCATTATTTTTTCCATTCTAAAAAAATTCACGAAAAACCGCTTGTTTTAGATCTTCTAATTCCGGATACCCCCTTCAGTTGCAAGAATCTAAAACCCTATTATGAATGTTAGGGTCACCCTCTATATCGTCAATACAATCGAAGGACAAGAAAATCCGCAAAAGCATAAACACAAGATTGTCGAGGGCGTTACTCATCGATGCGCACACTTCCCATATCACGACAGCGTAACAGTGTAAAATGAAAAGTTATAGAGTTTGCAACTCGTGACTTAGGTTCATAGTTTCTATTAACCAGTCTCGGAACTCCGAGACGAGAGAGCAAGAACCGAAGAGACTCGACGAGTCGCTTCAGGAGCAAGCAAGGTGTAATGTCGAATCGATGTACCATAATCGTCTGGACTTAGGTGTCTTTCGTTCCGAGCCAAGTCCTCGGCGTGCTTACTGCCCACAGAACTGGTATACACGTACCTCACGTATGCTCGTGTACTGGTTATATTCTATATACCGGGTGAGCCATTTTAATATTGCCGTCTTGATCTCTCCTGTGAAATGTTCTCATCACCAAAAATAGATTTCACAGTTTCTCAACACTTGTCAACGAAACAAGAGAGACGATAATGGTCTGACCAACCGCATTCCCGATGTAAAGCTTTTTCCAAAAGGAGCCTCACGGCATTGTTTTTTAATAGGACACAGATGGTAACGGTATGCGATATATCCGATTTGTTTACTTCGTATCAATGTATATTTATGTTTTACACGTTTACATGTACGTATTTAGAATTAAAATAGGCTGACACGCGTATTTTGTTATTAAAAAACGAAATTCTGGAACTTCTTTTGGAAAATTTTATTTTTACATTTTTCAACTTTATTTTTTTTTTTTTTTTTTATCTATAAATGATACAATTATTCGTATTGTGTCAGCAAAGACGTAAAGAAAAATTGAAACAGAAAGATTTTATTCGAGTAAATTTAACTAAACTCTGCGAAATAAACAGTCCAAAAGTTAATTAGTAAAATTATTCCATTTTCATTCTTACAGACTAAAATGATCCTTATTTGAATGATTTTTTAAATCTATATTACGCACCCCTAAAATACCTTGCAAATGCATACTAAACAAAATTTCTACATAATTTGAAACTAATTGAAAATTTGAATTTTAATATTAACACATGCCTCAAACCTTCGAAAATTATAAGTGGAAAATACATGCAATTTTTTCAACCGCTTACTTCCTTTTTTATATATATTATAGTTATAACTCCAGTGAAAATGGATGAAATGATTCGAAATTTGACAAAGTTATTACTTATAATAACGACAATAAGAAACCCTACGAAATTTCAAATTTTTATCTTAATTATTTCCTTATATATCATCGCAGTAAATATGCAACTATTTTCATAAACAAAAATTCCTTTCCAGGTAATCAAAACTTGGTTTATCAAAAATTCTTCAATTGTTATTCATAAAAAAATGTGTAAAATCATTTTTAATTAAACAATTTACAGTAATGAGTAATGAATTCTTATTTAATCCCTATCTACAAATATTAAAATTAAGTAATTTGTTCTGTATTTATTTATTCTGAAACTCAAGAAAAATTGTATAATAATACTAGCAGTTGCAAACCAAAAATTATTAATTACGTTCAAACAGCAGTTTTGACCCACCCCAGAATCTATAAATATAAACAATTACTTTTAAATATAAATGATTGCGTAAAGTGATATAATAATTATTATCGTAATTGTTTATTATCGTCATTTATCTCGTATATTCTGCAGATAATACAAAAGTATAGGCAAGTGATGCTGATTTTGAGATTGGCTGAGATTTAGTCTTAAATTTTATCTCATGATGCGAAATCCAATTAACCAATACTTACGATGGAATTACTTTTCAGATAAAAATGGCGATTTACAGTACCTTGCTCGTCATCTTACAATTACTACTCATCGACGCAGCATCGACGGTACCGGGAACATGGATGTGAGTACTCGTTTCTCTTCTTAGAATCTTTAGTTCCTGAAACGAAAATGATCAGTGTTCAATTTCTCGATACGACTAGACATCAACTAAATTACTGTGAAGCCTCTGCAACTGTCACAATTTCTACTCTGGCACCCGACTTTTCAAAAATTAATTTCTTTTTTATAGAAAATGATAGTATTTCGTTTGTACTTGATTGTACCACCAATAGTTTCGTTAGGACCTTCAATTAATAATTAAAAATAATTCAAAAGATGGTCAGCACCCGACATTAAGATTTTTGAAATCTGTTTTTTCCCTATTCTTTAGAATCGTTTGTACCCGTTTCTACCGCTTTTCGTTTCGTTCGTACCTCAATAGTTTAAATTTTACAAGCAATTGTTTATACGCGTAAGAGAGAAGTTTGTCAATTTTCAATATTTGTAAAATCTGTTTGTTCCCCATTCTTTAGAATCGTTTGTACCCGTTTCTACCGCTTTTCGTTTCGTTTGTACCTCAATAAAAAGAAATAATAAAAAATATAAATGTAAGATTTTAACATGAAATTAAAATTTTTATTCCTCTTATGCTGTTGCTTGAAATAATACTATTTAAACTTTGTAGAGCATTATTGAAATTAAATACAATTCAAATCATAAAATAAATATAAACAAAGTCATAGCAGGAGAAGAAAAGTAAATTTTATATTCGAATTTAAAATTTATATTCTTTCCTCATACATGTTCTTCCTCAAATAATATCATTAAAAATTTGGAAACGTGCTTTCCAAAACATACAATTGAAATCGTAACGTAAAATTAAGCGAAATCATAACGGGAGAGGAAATTTAAATTATATAATAAGAAAAAAAATCTAAATTTTACATTAAAGTCCTAACATTTACAATAGCAGAACAAACATAAATTTTGCATTGAAACTCAAAAATCCACAGCAGCAGAAAGACTATATAAAATCCTAATGGTTATAATAGAAGAAATACAATATACCAATTACATTCTGAAAGATCCTAAAATTATATTTTTTCGACTATAATGATATTAATTCAAATAGTACTGTTTAACTTTTGTAAATTTGTTTGAAATTAAACATACATATAACAATTACAAATCCGAAGAAGTCTCAAATTCACGAGTGAAAAGATACAAATAAATTAGGGGGCCGATTCAGGATGTTGAACATGAAGCAATTTTTAACGACCTTTTGAAAAATAATGTACGATGCAGATCTTTATGAAATTTACAGAATCTTTTACTGGATATTTGGTGATAACAAATTACATTTTTTTACGACCGGTTCAAGACACTGGACATGAAACATTTTTTAAAGAATTTTTTTAAAATAATTTATTACGCAGATCTTTATCAAATTTACAGGGTCTTTTAATGGGTATTTAGCGATAACAAATAACTTTTTATTACGACCGATTCAAGACACTGGACATGAAACACTTTTTAAAGAATTTTTTAAAAATAATTTATTACGCAGATCTTTATCAAAATTACAAGGTCTTTTACTGGGTATTTGGCGATAACAAATAATTTTTTTCAATGCAAAATTGTACTTGGAAAGTTATGTATACGGGCATGTACGTAGATCTCTCGCTGACGAAGTTACGAATTTTCGATTTTAAAACCTTCAATTTTGGAGAAAAGTACAAAATTGAAACAATAGTAGAAGTTGAAAGAAAAAATATAGTTTTATGAAACAATTCTTTAATTTAATTGTTTTTATCAAAGTTTCAGGTGCATCGATAATATAATTATACAATAAATCAGACAAATTTTAATTTTTTAACAAATTGGAAGCTCTATAATCCTTGCAAATTCGTACCTAACGAAAGCAAGGAGTCTACGAAGAAGTCCATACATATACTTCTTTGTAGACTCCTCACTTTCGTTAGATACGAATTTGCAAGGATTATAGAGCTTTCAATTTGTTAAAAAATTAAAATTTGTCTGATTTATTGTATAATTATATTATTGATGCACCTGAAACTTTGATAAAAACATTAAATTAAACAATTGTTTCATACAAATAGTGATGATATTGTTGTTAAAACCATATTTTTTCTTTCAACACCTACTATTGTTTCAATTTTGTACTTTTCTCCTCATTATTGATGTATCGGCAATATTATTATAGAATGAATAACAAATTCTTTGGTTTTTGAACAAATTGAAGTGTGTTTTGTATCGAAACAAATTATTTGTTATCACCATTCAATCAAAGACCACGTAAGTTTCGTAAACATTCACTTAATACGTTATTTACAAAAAAATTCATTTAAAAATGCCTCATGTTCAGCGTCTAGTCTTGGTCTTTATTTTTTTGCACGTGGCAAGCCTTTCTACCCAAAAAAATTAAATCGAGATTATAGAAACCTGTAGAAATCCTGTAGAAAGTAACGGGCAATAGTCCGTGGACTGCTGGCCGCTTTCTTTTCACGTGGGTCGAGAAAAATACAACGACGCCACCCTTTAATCTGGCCATTTCGATATCGTTCGCGATTCACGTTAAAATAATACCTCGAGCGTGGATGCGGCGTGAATCAATTCATTTCTGAACGCGTACACGGCCACGCTGTGTCTGGAATCTAATCTGAATACCAGCTCTTAGTCGTGACTTAAGGGGTTGTTACGTTGATATCGGTGAGCAGATTAGCGAGAATAATGCGAGACTATATTTGAGTTGAATCATTTTATCGTTCGCGGACCTTTGTATGAAACGTGTTATATCATTATTATGTGATATCTATGTGGTAATTAATTCGTTTCTCTTATATCGTAAATTACGTAGGAGCTTGATAAAATTGACGACACTTCCGGTTGAGTTTGATACCGTATACAGCGAATGCAGAAAGTAAACACTAACGTTCAAAGGCCTTTAGACATTTGCTGTTTTTAACGAAATTCTAGCATTTGACGGAGATTTTAAATTCTAATCCACTTTTGTTAGATGATGCAATTGTAGATGCAAGTTTTTAGTTTTATTTGACAAGAGAATGACTCATGTAATGATGGGAGGAGTTGCTTTCCATTTTCATACATGTTTCATCTATGCGAACTAAGAAAATTCATAGAAAGAAAATTTTAAACAACTTTTTTAACAAGTTAAAGTGATTTTTTTCACCCAAAGAACTCGTTCTTTTTTTTCAAACTTGCAGTAATTTCACATGTCACCATTATTGCGGGTTTTGTTAGTTCACATAGAAGAAAAATGTATGAAAACGAAAATTTCCTTTGGTTTTTTTTTGTGTCAAACCAAAATGACAACCTGCACTTTTCCCGCCGATAGGAGGTTTTAATTGTGGGGTGCCCTACAAATGTGCGTCACGGTCGCCTCAATTTGAATATTTCTTGTTGAAACAATTTGTACAAACTACTCAAATATGTATGAAAATAGGATAAAAAGTTCGATAGAATTAATTATTTTTTTCCATCCTAAAAAAATTCACGAATACTCGCTTTTTTTAGACCTTCTAATTCAGCATACCCCTAAAATGCAAAATAATCTTTCAAAATTTTGTTGAGAATTCTTTGAAAAGAAGACAGTGTGCATTTGACCACATATGTAGGCACGACGATTCTAAAGTAATTAGATTATGATACAGATAAAATTAAAACGACGACATAAAATCCCTCGGGGTCTCAGCTTAAGCCCAAGTAAGACGGATTAACTATTATGGAGATCCACGGAGTCCCGCCCATGTGATTAAGCATTTTCTTGATCACAAATGCTTAGGGAAGGGATTATAAAAAAAAGAAAGTTATAATGACCCGGAGGGTTACCGACTACAATTTACGGATAAGGTTGTATACAGGGTGTCCCAAAAAGGTTGTAACATCTGGAAAGAGGTGGTTCGGGAGGTGATTTGAAACCACTTTTACCTTAGCGAAAATGTTGCCCGAGGCTTCGTTAAGGAGATATTAAAGGAAAACACTGACCAATCAGAGTGCGCGTATACCGTTGGAGCGGCCCTGGTAGCGAAGGCTATGCGCTAGGCGGCCGCGCTTGTACGCGAACAAGTGACTCGACGTGCATCGAAAGACATTGACACAGCCGCCTAGCGCCACATTTTCGCTAAGGACAAAGTTGTTTCAAATCACCTCCCGAACCACCTCTTTCCAGATGTTACAACATTTTTGGGACACCCTGTATATCCAGTGGGTGTAGAATGTATTCATACACCGATCAATTTCCTAAAAAAACTTTTGTGTGAAATTGTAGTTTCTTGACTTCCTTTTTTATAATCAATGATATTTTACATATTCTCAGAAGTCTCTAAAATAGATTTAGTTCAATCAACATTTACTAGTCAATATAATTTGTGAAATTAACAAAAAAAATGTGATAAGTGGGTAAAAGAACAGAAGCAGTAAGTATTTGTACAATTCTTATAACGAACCATTTACAGTAGAGTTTCTAACGTAAACACATTAGTTTATTGCTTCGTACGAATTAGAAAACATCAAATTTCCAGTAAAGTATTGTGCTTTTAAAAAATGGCTCTAATAGAGAAATGGAAAAAGATCCCACTTCGAATAACTAATAATTTACTTAGTTTAATGCTTAGAAAAGTTACAATAATTATAAAATCAAAAGATAATCCCACGAAGGAAGTATTATATACTCATAAATTAATGTAAATTTCTTTTTTTTTAATGAAGTTTTAAAAATTAAACAGTTGCGCGAATTCTTATTGCTTCAATATTTCTATCGATTAATTGTTTTTTTCTTGTTAATTTCGCAATTTACATAAATAGCTATTTTTTTTTTGTACTCTATCTATTCTAGAGATTTCCGAGAATATGTAGAATGTCATTGTTTATAAAAATTAAGTTAATAAATTACAATTTTGCATAGTTTTTTTGAAAATTTATCGGTGTACGAATACTTCTACATCCACTGTATGTATAATAACGAGCAGTCTATGTCTTTTTTTTCTACCAAAGGCAACAAATGCTACTTATTTTCCATTATTACAATTAAACAAATTTATTTCACGTATTGTGAAAAAGCATATAAAATAAGAACTC